TAGTAATTCCAAACCACGCGCCCGTCACTCAAGTGGCGCCGGACAAGACTAGATTGGGTAAATACCAAAGTGTTTTGCAAAGTTGCAAGTCATTTTGCTAACTGACTGTCCGAATAATTCTCAGAATGGCTGTAATTTTTCACTCGTGCACTCCATATCTGGGCGGTTGAACAACATACATGACGCAACATATGCCAACCGGAGCTGCTTAAACTGCAACAAGTCGTCAAGTTGTTATCGTACAGTATTGGGATTCATAGTAATAATATTTTGAATAATTTATTCCGAAATGTCGTCTAAAATACGTCTTTACAAACATCTACCAGTAGTCACGTGGCAAAACATGTGCACGCCATGGAAGCAGCCATTTTGTTAGAACTTACCCTTTTTGACTGTTTTGTATAACCTTTTTGTCAGCTTTCTCCCCGCTAATGGTTGTGATATTGAATTCATTAAGTTCACTAGCATTTCGTACGACCGTTCATTGCTTTCAGTTTCTTCTGTTTGCTCTTCTTTTACTTCCTTAGATTTCTTTGGTGTCTTCCCCATGGTCGATGCTACTTTCTATTTCAAAAGGTCATTCACGCACTATATCGCCCTCTGTGGCAACGAATAATTAAACTGTTGTTTTTTTAATAAATGTACACATATATTCATTTGTCTTGATGTTTTTGTGTTAGAAAAAATAAGTTCCGATTATTCTAAAAGTTAAATATATTCAATTATTGAATCTAGCATAATGAAGCAAAATTGCTTTTTATAAAATTTAATTACGAGGAATTTAAGAATATATTTCATGAGGGCGCGCTTGCGGTTTCTCTACCCAGTTTTGATTTCTGTCTAAAAAATACGGTTCAAATTGTATTGACATAAGACCATTGAAGAGGGATGTATATTTTAACATTGAATATATCTAGATTAAACATTGACATCTCGGACTATCCAAAATACTTTGCCCTTTAACCTTGGTGAAAGCGGTATTGTATTACTCACTATGGGAACAAGAACGCCATTTTGTTTGAAAGTGAAACTAACTCTGTTATTGTTTTGCTATTTTTTTTGTTATTTGACGGGATGTTTGGTTTGATAGCTACGTTACGAGATTTTAAGAACCCACTGAATATCTAGAATGTGGAACATTATCAGTGATGTAACGTACTAGGATTCGTCGTACAAATTTAATGGTCGACGTCTTTTGACAGCACTGCACCCCAACGATGGTCAATCCCCCGTTCGTTCTACAGCCGGGTTCTACAGTAACTGCTAGAATTTTTATCTCGTAAACAAATTCGAAGGCTATGTATAGTAAAAGGTAAAGTTATTATTTGTGTACGGGGCATCTCAAAGGAGGATCTTCGTTCACAGCCATTGTTTCACAGATGGGCCATTAGAAAATCGAGGGGGGCAAAGAAAACTATTCTCGAAATACTACTATATATTTATTGCACACAGCCCAGATGTTTTATGTCACCATTTTGGGTTATAATTGCTCATTGAATTATTACTACATGCAGGAAAAAGATGTACAATAATATTGTCATCACATGAATACCACAAAATGTGCACTTGCATAGTATGGGGTTGCATTGACCTCGTACATGCATTTGATTTGATTTTCATAATTGACATTCTTCGTGCATACTGATATTGCAATAACTTATTTTCACGATTGTGCTTCTTGTAGAATTTGAAAAAATACATACCGGTAACAGACATTGACACTATTGTACTGCGTGAGCAGCTACAGTAAGCAAATTTAGATTAGGGAATCACAATTTTAAAATTTAATCTGGCCGGCGCAAAAAAATCATCTATATGTAATACAGGAGAAATTGAAGATGAATTCCATCTAATAATGTCATGTCCAAAGTAAGGACAACAAAGAAAGTCTCCAAGAGTTTCAATGGAAGTTATGTCATCATATAAAATAATATAATATATACAAATTACACTCTCAGTCGAATGAACCAAAGGACTCAAAGTAATCTGTGCACTTTTTGTAAGAATTAACAAGCATAAAACAATACGTCACCTATTTGTATACTGTGAATGCATGCAAGCAATTTGGAACACTATTCAATATATATGAGGTACTGCACTCAATTATCAAAACAAATTGACAGAAAAGCAAATTTTATTGCAAATAATTTAGTCACTTAATGAATCACGTGATTATTATTGCGAAGAAAACTATTTATGACTCAAGGCTGAAAGGTATCTTACCTTATCTTATCTTACCTATCAATATATTAGTAATAGCATTACAATAATAAAACAAATGGAATGTGTTATGTCAAAGAAAAATAACACCAAAATAAGTGGAAAGATTTTAATGTTTAAACCCTGCTACCTTACTGTGAAAACAAAGTCTGTGTGGTTTTTTTCTCTAGTCAATGTAAAAACATTATGTTTTGTTGTATTCCAAAAGGTGGATTCCTGATTAAAATAAATATATATATACTAGTAAAAAAAAAGAAAGAAAAAAAGTCTCTAGTTGAAGATATGACCAAACACATAAATAATTTCAGCAACCTGTCAGTTCATAGTCAATTTATGTCTATATAATGAGTCTTCACAGTACACAGATCAATTCGGCACGATTTATTAAACACTGCCTTAAAAAAAAGGCAGCACTCGTTTTTAGTGACCTTACTGCTGCACTTTCCAAAGTCAGTGTTGTGTCAAGAAATAAATGTGACATTGTGCTATAGACATTTCATCCACATTTTGAAATTTAATTTAATCGGGAGGGTCGCCGCCTGCACTCGTGTGGGAACTGAGTCCCAAGCGACGATAACAACACACACTAAAATCGCAAAGGCTCATGGGTAGATGCTTGTTTGTAAACAACGACTCTCCTGCTTTAAAGTAATACAGCTACCGCTAAGGTACGAGTATCTATGTTCATATTGCCAGGTATAGCACACGGGTTTACCCCGAAGTTTCGGTTACTCCACAATCAGAGTTTCGACGAAGTCACAAAAGCAGATCTTCACAGTTAGTACGTAAGCCAAGCAATTTGAGCAGCTCAAGAACTGTGGAAGAACATAAAAATGCTCAAACAGAAAGTGAAAGAATCAGAGTTTTAGTGAGAAGAGAAACAAATTTAAGTATAAAGAATGGTGAGGATAATATTGAAGTAAGTTGATAGTATTTTTTTTTTTTTTTGCTTCATGATTCACATATGTATAAAATTACATACTGTCAACACAACAAACCGATTTCCTTCATTTTTGTAATATTATTTTCACAATTCAAACTGAAACGAGAGGTTTTTATTGGCTTATGAAATAACATTGGAACATTTATAAATGACAGCAATAGACAATACACTCAGTGTTTAGTTGAATTCAACTATCAGTAAACTTCATGAACTTTATCATATGAGTGATTGTCCATCGTCATTTGTGTTTTACGTTTTACTTTTCCGACTTTTTCTTGAAACTGCAAGCCTGATTACTTTAATACTTGGTGTATATGTAGCTTGGGAAGACCTCACTTAGATTTGTATACTTCATGATGATTTATTTAATTCTTCAATTTCGGTGAATATTTTTGTCATTTTGGGTAAAAAGTGATATTTTTGACTTCCCCTTATACATATAGGTACCTCAGATGGACCTCTCTCAGATTTGTTCATTTTGTGATGATATCTCCAATTTATTAATTGAAATGTGCATTGCTAACGGCAAGCTTTCTCGGCCAAGAATATGCTTCTTATAAAAATGAATTTTTTGCTTTGCTGTGTGTTATACAGTGCAAAAATGGACTAAAGTTGAGGATATTTTTGAACTTGGATCTTACAAACAAATATTTTTCTTTTATAGCTTTTAGGCTCATTCTTAATTTACCGGTAAATCATTTACTGTAAAACCATTTATTTTCAATGTGTTTTCACTTTTTTGTCAAGGAATTAAACAATGATTTTTATTGTTTATTCCACATGTTCACTTGGATTTAGATTACCGGTAGGGGATTTTACTTATCAGAGAAAATAGTGAAATTAAAAACCAGTGAATAATTAAGTAAAAGAAAAGTGTATTGATAAAACTGATAAAAATAACCAGAGAACAGAAGGAAAAAAACAGTAGAACAGTCAAATGCACAGTTCTGATGACTGTGTATTTGAGCAAGGACATTATACAAAATCTAGCACATGCAGTGTCTTCAGGTAACATCTCTTAAGATTCAAATGTGATAAAAACATGTGAGATTAGATCCAAATATTCAAATACAAGTTACATTACACATATACCAAACTCTAATATGATAATTACATTTTTCGATGGATGAACTCCAAAACAAAACATACCTATGCAGGACATTAGGAGTCATCAAATATATCGGTAGTAGGTTTCAAACAAATGTGATACATTGGTGTTTTGGGAAATGTATTACAAAATGGTTTGGATCAAGTTGCCCGCACACCGTTCATTGTGACCTCACGTAAATGATATTACGATATCGTCATGCGTTGATTTTCAAACAAAAATGTCTACATGTACAACACAGTGTATAAACAGTGGTATCTAAACCAGTTTGTTGTGAACCTATGTGATACAACGTTTTCAACTTCTGAAAATGTGTGATATGGTGCCTGCAGATTTATTGCATGCGACCAGATGCTTATGCAACAAAATGTGATTCCCAAGAAATGTAGCGCAACACATCAGTTTACTCCTGTAGATGTTTGCTGCAGTTGCCCGTCCCTGTATTCTTTAATATCTTGAACTTAAGCAATATTGAAATACAATGAGCATTTTGGGTATCAGTGAGATGTTTCTTTCAAAGCATTAGGATTTATTTCTGTAGGATTATTTACAACAAAGTGATTGGATTTCAAAGACATTCAAGAAGAAAGAATGTAAACGATTTGTTGAGAAACCCAATAAAGCTGGCTTGTAAGTAAATATTTCAACTATAGCAGTTAAAGACTGGTTGTATATGGAATAACTTTTAGAACATTTTGAGTTCACACATTAACACAGACATGTGGGCATATATATAAATGTACCAAAATGAGCCAAGTACGGGGAAAATGTCTATTTATTTATTATTGTAGTTTCAAGATTACACTTGTCTGGTCAGTTACGGGGCACTTTTATTTACGAGGCGTCCATTTTGCTACGTCATAGAGGTCAAACTGCGTGAATATATAATTAATTAAATTAATGGCTGTTTCACGTCCACATTTAGTTTTCGTAAGATGGAACTAGTTTTGGTTGGATAGATTGAACTAGTTTCAGTTCGTACC